TGACAGATGGGTGGTGTAGTTCCAAGCCCAGGAACCAAACCCAGCCCACCAAAGCGGAAAGTGCGGAACTTGAACCAGTAGGCCCTCCGGGCTGGCTCTTATGGAGTTTTACTTTGCTTCTCTCCCAGTTACTAATGAGCTTGAGTGTCTTTGTGTGTGTTTGTTAACCATTTGGATTTCCTCTTTTGTGAAGTGCTTGTTCAGTATTTTGCCATTTTCCTAATGGGTTTTCTGAGCGTTTTCTTGTAATGATTTGTAAGTGTTCTCTCCATGTTCTGGACACTAGTCCTCTGTCAGGTATGGTTTTAATCACCTCCTACTCACTCTGCCCCAGGGTTGCAGGGATGGCTGACCATGCGACACCTGACACTGGACAGATGTGACTGACAGCAGTGTGTCAGTCACATGTACTCACAGCCCAGGGGAGGAGGACACTAGCTGCCACACAGGGCCACACGAGAGCTGCCCTTGGGAACAGTGAACCAGCAGGGGCTGTGGAGGCAGGCCCTGTAGTAACAAGAGGATGGGGTGCCCCCGGTCCCCACAGGAGTGAGATTGGCTTGTTTGAATAATTCTGTAGGCTGGCAGGGGACTAAACTCATTGCTCAGGGATGAGTGGGAACTGTGCCTGGTCCCCTTAAAAGGAAGCTTCTTTAGCACAGGGACCTTATCCATGGGGACAGAGTGGAGGAGAACTTCCAGTGAGGCCAGTTGTGGCCCTCCCGGTTTTGCCAGATAACGAGGCAGCACATGACGTGGAACCTTAACTTTAGGCTGCACCTTACACCACAGATATATGTGTCACAAACATCTTCTCTCGTTTTGTGGCTTACTTTTCCCTCTCTTTAGGTTCTTTGGATGAACAGAAATTATAGTTGAGGCTTTTTATGTCTTAATTCCCCATTACTTCAAGGTCAAAGCTGTTCTCTATACTGTCTTCTGAAAGCGTAACTATTTAGCCATCACTTTGATTCTGAATCTAAACTAAATCAAAGCGTATCAAATATGCCTCCACCTTCCAGGTCGTTGAGGGAGGCCAAGGCCCTGACTGCTTCCCCGAGCCCGTTCCTGCCTCTTCTCAAAGGACTGAGAAGTCCTGAGGCTTCTCAAGGACTTCTCACCATTGCCCCTTCCAACTGTGGCCAACACAGATCTCCAGCCAGAGCTGCTGGGGCCTCTTAGGGACATTCCTGAGCTGTGTTCCCGCCCAGCCCACTTCCAGCTCAGCTAGCCAGCTCGTGTGTGCTCCTTGCGCAGGCTCACTTGACTGCTGGGTGCAGTGGAGCTGGTGCTGCTAGTTCAAAGGGAGAGAGGAAAATGCTTCCACAGCCCGATCAGATCATGCGCAGGCTCTCAAGGTGCCTCAAGAGAAAATGGGGGAGATGTGAAATTTGGGATTTAGGGCACGCATTCATAGCAAAACCCAAAAAAGGGTTCTTGATGAATCAGCCGAGGACATTTCAGTAAGTTGGGATGGAGAAGCTTCCACCCCACCAGGTAAATGATACTCCTGATAATGTGATTCAGCTGTGAAGAAGACTGCAGATGGCACGTTCCCTCCCTTGTCTCCGTAATTGCTGTCATTTTAATAAACAGAGCTCAGCTCATTCAAGGGACAGTTCAATTGCAGATATAATTTACTCTCCTGTAAGCACTAGGGTTTAAATTTTCAAATTATCATTGTTTGTGTTGGTTTCCAGCACATGGAAATGACATAATCGTAATATAATAGCAAATGCATGTAAAGAACTTGCTCTATGCCAAGCACAATTCTGAGACCTGTCCATGTATTAACTCATAATCCTAACAGGCCCCCCACAGCGTACCTCCTCCAACCTCCATCCAGTGTTTGTCTTTGTTCTGTGCAGAACCTATAGCCTGAGCCCTCTGACCTGCCAACTCTCTTCCACAGGAGCACCTAGGCCAGGCAGCCCGCAGCCCTGCTGTCTGCCGTACTCAGCATCGGGGGAAGTGGGCTTCCTTCCCACTGGCCCCCCAAGAAAGGACCATGAGTGACTTAGTTATCATTTCCAAGTCTCTGAAATGTCTTTAAGGAGAAAGACTACTGTCATCTGTGAGCATTAGTCATCTTCTAAAAAACTAAAAGGAATGGGCTTAAAATAAAAATCAAGACCATCATAAGAACTTGGAGAAGCTAGAATGAGAAAATGATAGCGCAGGCTAGTGAGCTGGCTTGCAGAGGCTTTGTCCACAGAGATCAAAATGGGTGCATCCAAGCTAGGAGCCTTGGAGCCCCCAGAGTCCCTCCCTTCCCTCCTCCGGTCCTCCATCAGCCACCAAGTGGTGTCCACCTTCCTTGCACCCCCTAAAATGCTGGCTGCAGGCTGGGGGGAACTTGCCTGCCTTATTGTGCTTCTTTCCAGGGCCTACAGCAGTGGCTGGCGCACGGGAGCCCTGAGTCAGTATTGGCTGGAGTATGTTGTTGAAGGAACGGCTTGGACTCTGTCCATTCCTCTCCATCTCCACTTCCCTGTGTCTGTTCAGACTCTGACCATCACTGGCCTGGCTGCCTGTCTTCACTCCCTCCTCACATCACTAAAGGGGTCTCTTTAAAATACAAGTGCAGTCCTGTCCTCCCTTCCTTTAGGTCCCTCAGGGGGTCCTCCGGGCACGCAGGATGGAGTGCTAACTCCTTTGAGGTCTTCTATACTCTGGGCCCTACTTCCCTTTGCAGCCTCCTCCTCCCCCAGGGCTCCTGTCCTCCCCTGTACTGCAGTAATGGCTCCCACCTCCACTCTTTTGTGTGTGCTGTGCCTCATACCTGGAGCACCCTGGCCACCTGGCAGACATCATCTTGTCCCCCAGATTCCACTCCAGGATTCCTCCCTCTGGGAACCGGTCCCTGGGAGACTCTGTTACCCCTTACATTTGGACTCGGCACAGCATGCTCAGTGTTCTCTGAGCCCCTTGTTTGACTTCTGTCATAGTGCTTGCCACGCCCTTCTTTCAGCTGTCTACACATTTTTATTGAAGGCCAAGCATCATTCAATGTCAGGGATATGGGGGTGGAGAAGGCAGACAGGGACCCCCCCTCTCCTGGAGCTCCAGGCAGAGTACACAGGTCAAGACATGAATGAACAAGACAACTTCTAGTCACTTCGTAAATAGTCATTAAACACCTAATGACACTAGCATTTGTTGAGTGCTTGCTGTGCGCCCTTCTGTGAGCAGCATACTGAAATCAGCTCATGCAACCCTCACAGCTTCCTCGTCTTGCAGTTGAGCAACGTGCAGCTTGGAGGGGGCAGAGCCAGCTTTCAAACCCCGTCTCTGGGGCTCTCACCTGTCTGGAGATGCGGGCTGGTCCCTTGCAGGCTTTACCATCTAGGCAAGGACTGGCCCTTTCAGCAGCAGTTCCAGAATGGCAAACAAGTACAGTGGAGGGGTGCAGAGGCCAGCGCAGCAGGGCTGGGGGCACCAGCCTGGGTGAGGGGCTGTCATGGGTGCTTTCTCAGAGGAAGTGACTTCAAAGCAGGGACCTGAAGGATGCACAGGAGTTAGCTGAACAAAAGGAAAGGGTGTAGAATGTTCTAGGCAGAGGAAGGCCCAGAAGGAAGAGCAAACCAGGAAAACTGGAGAAAAGAAAGTTTGAAGGGCTGGAGAAGTCCGAGTGGCAACTTCACTTATAAGGTCGTGCGGAGCCTCATAAATGAATTGGGAAATTTCAGCTTTGTCCTGGGAGCAACTGGAAGACAAAGGGCGTTTTTAAGCAAGGTAGTGACTTGATCTGACACAAGGTCCTTCTGGCTGTTGCTGGAGAACCAATTGGGCAGGGACTAAAGTTGAGGTGGGAAGACCAGCTTGGCCAATTCATTCCCAGACAAGAGATGATGGTGGGTCTAGACTAGTGTAGAGGCCGTAGAAAGAGAGAGAAGTGAATGGATCTGAGAGAATTTGAGGGAGGAAAATCTCACAGCACTTGGACACAGTTTGGATGTAAAAACGAGGGCAGGATGGGGAGGAGTCCAGGCCACCACCTGGGTGTCTGGTATGGGCACGTGACCAGCTGGCAATATCATATATGGGGACAGAGAACACAAGGGGAGAAGGTGTGGGTGCGAAAGAATGATGATGTTGGGGATATGCATGAATCTGTGGTCCCCAGGGGGCATCGGAGTGGCAGGTGGAAGATGGAGCCAGGACGCACAAGAGAGAGTTGCCTGGAATACAAATTGAAGAGTGTATACAGATGGCCTTTGCAGCTGTAGGAGGGGATGCGTTTATTGAAGGAGACTGAGGCAGCGATAGAGACGTGCCTGTCTCTTTCCACTGTGAGCTTCCACCTACACTACCCAATATGGGAGCCACTGGCCATGTGTGGCTATTCAAATTTCAATTAAAATAATTAAAATTAAATATGATTAAAAATAGTATTTTTCAATTTCAGTCTTCAGTCACACTAGCCACATTTAAGTGCTCAGTAGCCTTGTGGCTGGTGGCTTCCATAACGGACAGTGTAGGTGACAGACCATTCCACCATCACAGACAGTTCTATTGGACAGTGCTGTATCCAACTCAACAATATATTTATTTTGTACTCACAGTGCCCAAGCACTCAGGAAAAAAAGTTTGATTCCTTCCACTAGAGATCTTGAAGAAATAAACAGGCAGCAGTTTGCTGGCCTAAAGTTCAGGGAGGGGACCCCCTGTGCTCCTCAGGGCCCGCCTCGCACTGGGGCTCCATCCGGGCCAGAACGCAGGAGTGTCGGCCACAGGGCTCCTCCAGTGAGAGGAGGACTCTGCACGTTTGTCTGACTTCACTCTGACTTCTCTCTTGGGCCCTGCATCTGAGCAAGTCAGACCTTTTAGATAACAGTTCAAGGTTACAGAGTGACAGACTGAGCGCCTTCACAGAAAATCACGTCTTGAACTTTGCATTTCAGAAACCAGCTCTGAATTCTCATGAATGTTTGGTGTTTGCTTTTTCCTTTGCTTTTCATCGTCAGTGAGTGTGTACCTTTCTTTATTTTCCTTTTCAGTCAGATGTCATGGATCAGAATTTGTTAAATTTCCTTCCAGAACAAGAACATTCAGAAGTTTATAAAATGCTTTCTTCCCATATGCTTGTGACGGAATGCCCCTCCCCAGAATACGTAAAATGTAAGTTTAACTTGACTCGTTTTACAAGATATGAAGATAGTTTTATTTTTGAAGGGAGGTTAGAATGAATTAAGAAGGGAGGACTAATTTTAAGAATAATTTTCCGTGTGACTCAGAACATTTCCAAGACCCTTAAAGGTATATTTTAAGTTTAAAGCTAAAACTGGAGTTTGGAATACATAAGACATTTAACTTTTATGTGGAAAATTTGAAAACATAGAGCTTAAGAATAATAACTTGTTTTGCATGTAATACAAGAGATTTCTTGTTTTTAACCTGAGTCTTTTAGTAACAAAAGTACAAAAATCAGCAAGCAATCTGCTTATTTTGGAGGACACTATAATGCTGGATTTATATGATGCCAACTGAAAACTGAATAATTAGGCCAAAAATCCAAATTCTCTCCTCCCGAGGCTGTCATCTGGTTATTTATATACATTTGCGGGTTTTATGGAATTTTTAAGTTTTTCTCAAAATTGGCAACCTGGAGAGAAGGCTGGCCCTGGTGCCTCGTGAGCCACACGTCACTTAATGAAGCACATACGTGGCCGGAGGTAGCGAAGTGCCTTGCAGTTGTTCCAGCCTTACTCCATTTTCCATGAATAATTTGTCCTGTTGTACATCTGATTTTCCTTCAAAGCAAAGCGAAAAGATTAAATTAAAGAGAGCAGCTCTATATGAGCAGCTTCATTTTAATATACTGTATGAAAGCAACCGGAACTAATCAATGCCGGCAGAACCAACCACAGACATCTGTGAGCAAATTAAGACGAGCTGGATCCAAGGATGGAATGCAAAATATCTATAAACTATGGGGGGAAAAACCTATGCTGCAAAGGTTATAAAACCATGTCCAAAAGTCTGTCATAATGAGAAATAACCTGGCCTTGTGTAGACTAAAACCCCAGTTTCACGAAGACGCTACTCGTTTAGAGTCTGTGTAATGCTCATGTTCCCTTTCTCTCCCCTTGTCCCTTTAATGGCCCAGCTGACAACGATTTAGAGTTTTATTGCCATCTTCTCAGAGGCAGCTTGAACCCAAAGGAATTTCCAACGTATGAATACATAAAATTTGTAGGAAATTTTCGCTCTTACAGCAATGGTAAGTTTAATTGTTCTATAATCGCGACAGTGTGTTTTATCATGCACACGTGCACATGGGGGCAGAGGAATCACTGAGGGAGGAGGTGGGAGATGTGCTTTTCATATTTGCTTTTGGATTTTTGTGTTCCCAGGATGCGTTTTTCTGCTCGTAAATGTTATCTCCCGTTCGAGAAAAACACACTCCCACACCTGTTTACACCAGCGCACAAAGTCCCACTGAAATGCACATTATTCGCTTCTTTATTTTCAGGCCGGTGGAATAGTTCTGTACTGTGAGAAACTACTTGCAGTTAATAAAGAACAGGCTCGGCCTACACACAGCCAAACAGGGCTTCATTGTGACATGAAGATCCATAACCCTGGTTTCTGCATTTTTATCCTCCTTTTTCCAGCACTGCTGTGAGCATGTTTTCATAGATCTGGAACATAGGTCTTCTCACTCCAGCCCTAATGCATAGTAAAGTGGCCATTTTACGATGAGCCAGCAATCTACATTGGATGAATTATCAAGCAGGATCAGCCAAGCAGCAAAATCCTATTTTCTGAAATTACCCTGATAACTAATTGTCCAAGCTCTGGCTGTAACTCTAAACTACGCTTAAACACTCAGTTTTACTTTTGACCCAGGCAAAATGGGAATGCAGGCCTGATGCCAGAAATTCGGAAACATAAGTCCCAGCGACAGCCCCGTGGTGGAGCCCAGCCCAGAAAGGCTTGTGTTTTGTTTGCTCCACTCCTGAAAACTCAACACAAAACAAATAACTTTGAAAGATCTAACATTTCACAAAACAGCAAAGATGGGAAAAAATAGAAGGAAATGTTGACAGGGAATGTGGAAAGAAAGAAGAGGGAAGGAGAAAAATACCAAAGGGAAACAAATACAGAAAGATGAGCCACAGAAGTGAGGGGTGGCAGGTGGGAGACCCAAGGGAGGTGCTGATGGCAACGCTGGCTTGTGCTGCTATAGTGACCGTTGTTGACTCTGGACCCACAGTCGAGCCTATTGCTCCGGTCACATTAGTCCCAGAATTTCCGTTATAACCAGCCAGCCACGGCACCAAATCCTAGTGCTGAGGCTAACAGGGTTTTTCCTTCAGCCTTAGATGATCCTGTTGTATGTTATTTGCATCAATACACATGCTTTGTTTAAAAGGCTCCAACTAGATGTTAAACAGCATGATCCTGCCAAAGCGATTTTCAGGTCCCGTCTCCAGGGCTTATGCCTGGATGATGGGCTCTGGGCCGACTTGGGGCCCTTCTGGGAACCTGCCTATCCAGGGCTCAGTGTGCCTAAGTGGCAGGAGGTCGCTTTCCCAAGTGGGCCCTCAAATCTGGGCAAAGCAGGACGAAGCCAAGGCCTGACCATGCCTAACCCAATGCATCCGAAAGGCTTTCCGAAACCTCATGAGACTAACATTGAATAAGCCACACAAATAAGTAAATGGTGGATTGTTGAGCTACCTACTTAAGAAAACTGACCTAAGAGGCACCTCGTAAAAAACCAAACAAGATGCCAGCCCTGGTGCAGTGGTTCACTGGGTGGGGCAGCTTGTTAAGATGTAGATCCTCGGGCACGCCTGCAGATTCTAGTTCAGGAGATCTGAGGGTGGAGCTGAGACTGTGTGGTTGGAAAAGAACTTGGGGTTCTGATGCAAAGGCTGATGTCATGGACTTTGAGAAACACTGCCCTATTGTAATACTAAATGCCATTCCGTAGGAATTTTAATGATACTCCTCTCTCTTGTGGCGCTCCTTCCAGACAACTTTATCCTTGAATTGATATAAGCAGTGGTTTGGAATTTGCTTAAAATGTGTGCTGTGGCCAGAATGCCAGCTGTCGGGATAGCAGCATATCCCAAGTGGCCACATGCAAGGAAGGGAAAGGCACCCTGGCCCCCAGTGTGCCACGGCTGTGGGAATTATGGGATGCTGCACCTACATGACCCATGAAAACAATGCACGGGCTTAATTCAAGAAACCCACCTGTGATTGGCTGGTGGGCAGCAGTTGTATCCTTTGTAAATTTCCATTTCCACGCCTCTCATTAAGATGCTGCCGAATATCTCTTTGAAGCTTCCTGTCATTTATCACATTTTAGAGGGTTTCAAGGAAATAGGCAGGCTTCATCGTGAATACCTGGGAGTTTTTTTAACTAGCAAGGCTTTATTTTCACTGCAAGTTGAGACAATGTTTATTTGCCTGAAAGAGTGTGTGGAAGTTATGTGTGATTTTTCTTTTTTTTTTTTTTTGGAAACTGTTACTGCTATAAACACACAGTGATGAAAGTAGAAAATTTAAAACCAAGAGCACAGAGTGTCTTCCCAGAGCCTGTTGAACAAACTAAAGTGAGAGGGGCTTTCTTGAGACAAAGTCTCCAGATGTCACTGTGGAAAACCTGAAATATAGTTCTCGCCTGGATTAAAATGGACAGCAAAAAAATGTCAGAGACAAGTGAATTTCTAAGATTTGAACCCTACGAAATCACCCGCATTCACCCATTTTTGACATATAAAATTTTATTTAACATAAAGAAATAATTCCTATTTGATTTTGTAGGTTTACTTCTCAATAAACATTGAACAATGAGTTAATAAAAAAGCTCACCTTAGGAGTGTTTCTTAAGTACCAGGCTCTGGGCTCAGTCCATGCATTGATCATCTCATTGAATCCTCACAACAGCCGTGTGAGGTGGTACTATTGGCATCATCCCATCCTAACAGAGGAGGAATGGATGTGTAAAAGAGTTAAGACTGTGGTGTATGGGTGGGAAGTAGGGGACCACATTCATACCCAGACCCTCTGACCCTGAACCCACACTCTTACCCCCAGCACTTTGCTGCCTCCCCACAAATCCATGTTGAAATTAAACATCTAGATGCAGAACTCAGGGCTGTCCCTGCCACCTGGCATTCTGTTGGTACATGATGTCCGTACCTGTGCACATCAGATGTCCTGCAACCACATACCAAGCTATTTTAAGAGTACCCAAGACTTGTTTTAAATCAAATATGGGAAAACAGGCAGATATAGAAATGACTGGCATGAAGGAAGAGGTTTATACTCATAGATCACTAGAAAAGGCACAGTGTGCTGTGTAGGGCCATGCAGGGAAGCACCAGGTCAGTCAGGAGGCAGAGGGAGCAGGAGAAAATGTGGGCAAGAGCCTCCTTTGTGGTGTCTGCAGGAAAGAACGGACAAGGCGAGCAAGGAGGCTTAGGGTTGGCTAATTTGAATACTTTCAGCAGGCTCTGGGACACAGGGCTGTCCCTGGTAGTCTGGCTCCTGGCCCTGGGGTGATAGTGGCCCAGAGTGTGCGAGCCCTAGAGGAGGTGGTGGGAGTGTGGCCTCTGGGTTGGTTGGTTTGCATGTGAAAGGTACACTGGAAGGTGAGTTGTTTACTACCCGTAGGAACTGGCTAACCCTGAGAGAAACAGTCCCTCCAGGGGCCAGAAAGGCCCCAGATATCAAAGCATCAAATACAGAAACTAGAAAATGTGGTTGTTACACAACCCACCTCATGCAACTTCCCTGAGTTCCCAGGCCTGGCACAGGTGAAAAACCAATATGTAAAGTGCAGAAGAAAAATGACCATGAACATCAGTTTTATTTTGATAGAATACCTGCCCACACCTCAAAGAACTATGTGGGAAACCCTCCTTTGGTCCATTACCGTGAAAAGTCCTATCATTTCCGTAGGGCTATTTGGTTTATGGAGCATTGCCTGGTGCATTCTTACTTGATGCGTGTCAAGAAAAAACGAGGCTCTCCTTTTTATAAATAATAGAATAGAAAGGACGGCGACCTTTACTCATCTGTGGACTCATCACACCCCTTCCTGGGCCGACACAGTCCACGCCTGGCACATAGATAAGCACTCGACAAAAGTAGGTAGACCTAAACTGAGGCTCGGAGATCTTAGTCCTTGGCACACGGATGGTAGGGGGCACATTCAGACCAAAGACTTCTGACTCATGGGAAAATAATGCTCTTCCCGGAAGCTGATAATCGAGCTCTTCTTGAGGGACCCCCAAGCACACTCCAGGGAGATAGCGACAGCTTCCAGGAGGGCTCCCACCACTTCCATGGCCTTAAATCCAAGGTGAAGATTAAAGCCATGTGGGTATGTGCCACGTGAACTGGAGCATGTCTAACTTCAGGTTCCTTGTAAATTGTCTACACCGGAAGGCCTCCGAAGCAACAGTGTGTGGTCAGGGACGCTCATCTTTGGCCTCCATTCACTCCGCTTTCTGTGCCCACCACTCCCATCAAGTTCCCTCCCCACCTGGACTCCCTGGGCGCTCCCTGATGTCCTTACCCAGGCCCCTCACTGGGGGTGCCCCCATCAGAACTCTTTCCCCAGCCTAGAGCTCATCTGATCACCGATGTGGCCCAAGGCTGACAGAGGCCCTGGCTGCCACTCAAAAATGACCACTATAGGAAGCCTCGGGCCTTAACCCAGAGGGCCCAGGTTGAAATGTGTAGGCTTCAGGGCAGGGAAGAGAGGGTGAGACTGAGCCAGAGAGCTTTTGATGACCCTTCAATCGTAGGTGAAGACCCCACATGCTTGCCTGCTAACCTGAATAACTACGCACGATTCATCTGGCTCTGTAACCAGTGTGAGTAAGCTAAGGTAGTAGGAATTGTGAGGGAAAGGAGGGACAAAAGTGCCTTTGCCCGTGTTAACCAGATTAAACTCTTAACTAGACATTTCCAGACTCACCAGTCCATTATGCCACCTCACCTCTTTACCTCTGCACCCCGGCCGCCCCCCGGCTCCATTCACTGAGGCTGAGTATACACAGCAACCATTGCCCAAATACTTGAGCAAAATGGAATTTTCCCCTTTTGCAATATTTGCACATCTTGGTCACTCCTTAGGACTTCATCATTTGCCACAGATGTTCTAGGGGGAAGGGAGGGAAAACAGGATTTCACATCTTTAACCTAGATTTTTAATAAATGTGAAGAAACATGTGTCAGGAAATAGGACAAGAAAGT